TTTTGCAGCATGATCTTTGTAATCTTCTTGAAAATCTAATGTATCTTCAACGATCATATCTACTTCATTGAAATCATTCACGGAATCTATTAAAATGCTTTTAATTCTTTCCGACAATTGAATCTCTTTATAATTTGTCTCACTTTCAGGTATTTGTAGAGTTTGAAAGTAAGCTAATAATAAATTTAAAACGTTCAGAGTGTTAATTTTCATTTTTTAATCTGAAATAAAAATATATATATATATATATATATCTTATATATCTTCTATTATATTAAACAGAAGGCGCGAAATTCTCCGTGCGTCCGTCCATCCATCCGTCCCCTTTTTTTCCTTATTTTTCCTCTGTATAGGTCTCTCCTGATATCGCTGGGGAATAAGAAATAAACTGAATAACAAATAAACAAATTAGGATAAAAACAAATAAAAAAACAAATTGATAAGTAAACAATAATGATAAACAAACTTATAGAAAACATTCATGAAAAAAATTAATTAATAAATTAAAAAGTAAACATATTAATTAATAAACAATAATAATAAACAAATCAATAAGTAAACAATAATTATATACATCATTAATTAATAAATCCTCATAATCAGTGTAATTTCAATTTTTTTAATAACAAATATTAAAAAGCCGTAAAATTATTTGCATATAAAAAATAATTTTATAGTTATACTTACGTAGCAGGTACTACGAAATACGAATTAACAGAATAGTATCTTATTATTATTTGTACTTATAATCTTATATTCTTATTACTATTTATTATGCTGTTAGTTCAATAGTCGATACAATACGTCCAACAACAAGAAAGTTGTGTTGGCTACTGATGAAGAATTACTTACTCATATTTATCAATCATGAAAATAACAGACAATCGTCAGAGACGCTGATAGTAGGACGTAAATAAAATTCTGATAATACTATCATTCATATACCAAAATTTTTGCGCATCCGAGAAACTATACTTATCTTCTAGGTATACTTATAATATTATATTATTCTTGACTTGTTTTCTTATATAATAAAAGTTATTTATTTTTTGATAGAATTAATAAACGATAGAACGTAAAAAATTTAAAAGAGAGCAACAAAATAGCTATGGAATCATAGCTTATTTGATTTAGAAGAGATTGCAACGATATGTCAGAAACTTTTTTTAGGATGGTTTTTCAACATTGAGGGTGGTTTTGAAAATAAGTTTGAACAGGTAAATTTTTTATTCTTATTCTATCCACGGTAATATTTTTTCCAATTTTTTTAAGCTCATTATGAACTTTTTTTCAAAAATAGGAATAAAGAAGGTACAAATTTCGATGACAGAAATTAGGGGTTGCAACCCTTGTGGTTGAAACTGCACGAGATAGTTGTGTTTGTACATTATAAATGATACGCAACGTATTTTACAGTAAATTATCAACACCACCTGTAATGTATTGGAAACAATTTTTTGGGGGTGGTTTTTCAACATAAGGGGTGGTTTTAAAAATAAAAGGTAAATTTTTTTTCTTATTCTATCCACGGTAATATTTTTACTAATTTTTTCAAGCTCATTATTAACTTTTTTTCAAAAATAGTACAAAGAAGGTAAAAATTTCGATGACAGAAATTAGGGGTTGCAACCCTTGTGGTCGAAACTGCACGAGATAGTTGTTTTTGTACAGTATAAATGATACTTAACAAATTTTACACTAAATTATCAACACCACCTGTAATGTATTGAAAACAATTTTTTAGGGGTGGTTTTTCAACTTTAAGGGGGTAGTTTGAAAAAAAGCTTGACTAGATTAACTTTATTTTTGTATTTTATGTGGGGTAATATTTTTTCCAATTTTTTTCGGGTTATTTTAATTTTTTTCATAAAAATAGCCATGAAATAGATAGTATTTTAAATAAAAAAAATAAGGGTTGCATCCCTTGTGGTCGGAATTGCATGTGCTAGTTTGCTTTTCACATGAGAAGTGATATTAAATTTGTTTGGTCGTAAAATATCAATTAGATGCTGAGATACATTGGAAAATCTATTTTTGGGGGTGAACTTTGAGGGTTGTTTTCACCCCCTCAAAGTGTTTTTCCGCCGATAAAAAAAAATACGTATGTCTTATTTTTTGATGAACTATAACATATCGAAAGATTATTGAAATCAGTGAGGTCGGGTTGGGGGTGTTTCCTTGTGAGTGTGCGGGTTCTAATCCTCGACTGGTTCATTTCATACGCGCGCGTTCGGTCTCGTCTCGTGCCGAATTCCCTCATTACACACACATTTTCCCCGACCGGTAGGTGCTGCCCTCGCAGGTAGCCGCATGGTCGGGCTGCTAGCGCTAATAAGAAATTTACCGTCACTACATATATATATAAAGAGAGAAAAATACTTACAGTTATTAATATTACAATTAATAGCCGATATAACGGCTCTTTTGCTACGGTCTGAACGGTGGGATTAATAAGCTGAAATTGAGTAATAACATTATTATTAAAAAAAAATTCTAAAATTTATTTTAATTATTTTTAATTATTTAAAAATTGTACTTACATTTTCTAAAAATTGTCACGCTCTAATAATGTTATCCATTTTTATTTTTTATGAAATAAATTTAGAAAAAATATATAAAAACTTTATAAAAAATGTTAAATAATAAAAGAACACCACTTCACTGTTAACAATTTGAAGTTTCCCTTAAGACTGATCATCGAAAATCCTACCGAACGCTCGCATTATTATCAGGTACGATTTTTTTCTACAATATACGTAACGCTACAGACAAACGCAGACATTCTTTAAGTGAGATAGGACGTATGGCGTAGCCTTTTCCTTCACGTGTTGGCCAGAAGCTTACCAGTTTCTAAAAAACTTCATAAATCTCGAGCGACGCGCCGGAGACTTTATGGTCATCCGCAATAAACGCATTAAACACCGATGGCCGCACGTCCGCGCTAATGAGTTTGTTTGATCATACTTAAACCGTCTATGATCTGCATTTATGATAGACATAGTTAACTTAAGATAAGAGGGTAGGTAGTAAGCATAGCTGCTCATGCGTTTCCCTCCTCCGCGGGCTGTGGTCCACGCTGAACCAAAGCTAGAGAGAGAGAGAGAGAGAGAGAGAGAGAGAGAGAGAGAGAGAGAGAGAGAGAGAGAGAGAGAGAGAGAGAGAGAGAGGGAGAGAACAATGCGACCAGCAATAAATTTGAGACACTATTGCGTGACGGATTCCTATTTTTCACGTGTGGCGAATATACATCATTATGTCGGTATTCCAATCCAAGCAGTTGTCTGCGGAGTATATCACCAATTAAAGGCGTCAGTTTGCACGACTCTCGCAAATAAGAGCTCAGACGCTGCAATAAAATTCATTATATTTCTTAATAATAAATTAATGTATTTTATTAACTTATTTTATTTTCCATTTGCATGGGTTATCGATACTCTCTAATGCGTTCAATTGATATGTTCGCTTGACTCATTATATAAGAATTAGAGCATCGTTGCTTTTCTTTTCTCACCTAAATAATTAGTAAAAGCTATAATTTAGAATAAAAAAACTTTTCCTTTCACAATTAAAAAAAATCTTTTTCTTCATTCAACCCCTGCGGTTGTAAAATATTAAGTTTATCAAATTGCAAATATGTGATTTCGTAGCAAATTAACATTTGATTTACCAGACCAGATTTAATTTTCTTACTAAAAATTTTAATATTAAAAATATATTTTTCTGGATCTAATATAATGACTTTTCCACGTTTTTCGTAGTAATAAATTTTCTAAATAATTTTTTTTCTAAATTCATTTTCAAGAAAAATAATTCTGTGCTATACCTATTTATACTAAAACCAGTCAAAATGACTGGTATCAATAAACAAAAAAAATTTTTATGGTTTTAATATCAGTTGATACTACTCATCGTATAAAAATTATTTAGTTATTCGATTACATTCATGTGCAGTGTTTGTGTATAAACTATTACGTTTAATTGCTTCGAGATTATTCTGTTATTGTACATTGTGCAATCAGGTAAGAAAAATAATTGAAACATTATTTTCATCAATTATCAGATATTTACAGAGCTGCGCTCTTTAAGTGGGTGTTCAAGGTATGCATGGAACACAAGAAGCACGAGGCAATTAATTAAACCAAGATCCACCTTTTTTTGCTCGACGGTTAATATTATGGGCCAAAATAAGCTGTTTTTATGCCTTGGAAATGTTCCACCAAAAAATGTTATGATGCTTATTAAGACGGCAAATTTTTGCCTTCTACACCGACGCGGCCCTTGTTGTTTATTGAGATATTTAGAATTATTTATGTTTTCAGTATAATAAAATCATTTCGTTGTAAAACTGAATACTATTATGTAAAAATTGTATCACTACAAATTTATAGTATACCACAGTTTGATAATCCCTGGTCTGTATACAGTGTGTAATCTGGCTCTTATAAATAAGTGACGCCCAGATCTGATTATACTGTCTTTATTTCATGGCCGTCAGCAGCTTATACGATGTCAGGTTTCACACTAACTACGTAATTATATTTATCTTATCAAGATACGAGTAACAAAAGTCTTATTTTGGCTTTACACAGGGTCGTGTAAAGGAGGTGAATATTCTAAGAACCTAGATCATCAGGAGTGCCAAATCTGAAATTCAGGGATAATGGTATCATGATAATTGTCAACTAGTCACCTAGTTATTTTGCTGGTATTCGTAAAAATAGATGTAGTTTAATGGCTGGTAACCTAACGTTAATAATGCACAGTTTATTTGCTTTCCTTGTAAAACTTTTGCATAAAAATTTGTCTATTATCTATCAAATGATTAGCAATAATTGATTCGAATACCTTTTCATTTTACCCCTTAAAAATTTTTCATAATAAAATAATTTCTATCAGTTTAAAAATATTTTTGCTATAATCGTTTTCTTTTAAGATTGAATCTATATGTCATGATCATAAAATATTGATAGATACATCATGTAGCTGCAATGATTACTTACGATATTGGTACATCACCTTTCCATTTACAACATTGAGCACAAACAGTATGACTGAACTCATTCTCTAATAAAACAAAGGCAAACGGTCGTTCAACGAATAAAATTTGTCCTTTTTTTATATTCTGATTAGCATATACATGGCGACCTTTGTCTTTGGAAAATTTCAAATTTAGAGCAGCTGATGCGTTTCGGAATTCTGAATGTTCACCAAATGCAATTTCAGGTAAATGACAATCTAGTTCATTCATTTCGATGATATCAACTATGTTTATAGCTTCAGATGATAGTAGAAGTATTTGTTTTTCTAGAATATCTACATTTTGTAATAAAAAGTTATAATTAAAAAATGATTAAAAAATGAAATTTTATTATAAAATTTCTTGGAAAAAATTATATGTTATTATTTGAAAGTTTCTAATATTACTGCTTAAAAATAAAAATTAATCATCTATCGATTTATAAAAAATTAATTCACTGAATTTGCAAGTATATAATTTTTGTAGAGAAATCATAAAACGGACATACATGACTTAAATCTTATACTTTTGCATTTCGAGTAATCTTTGCAAAATTAGAAAAAATGTATTATTACATTGCAATTGTGATTGAAAGAGAAAAATGTAGTATTAACTTAAGGTATCAGCTATTTCGTGAATAATAATCGGAAATGCAAAATAATTCAGCACATTCTTCCAAATCACTTTAATAAGTATAGACAGAATTTCACAGTACACGTAGAATCTTTGTAAGTTGATGATGTCTAATTTTTGTGTCTATTTGCAGATCTGGCAACGTGGTAGGAAAGTAAATTGATCTTCTGCTATATAGGTATGTAAACCTAGCAGTGTTAAATGACACATTGTAGTAAATTTAGTGTAAAAATTGTTACATCCCAAGCTAAAGCAGACACCAGAAGCTGAGATGTCACCAAGTGTTTGCTTGTATGGGAAAGCTCATTTCAAAGCTTCTCACAAGAGAACATCGAACTGTGCAGATTTATTGTCTCCCGCACCCGCTGAAAGCCTCATGTGTGTCTACAAGTCGAGGCTGCTTTTTGTAGAATTGACAAACATGCACAATAGCACTTGATGTACACTTTATGAATATACGAGGTGTGTTCAAAAAATAACGAGAATTTTCGTTTTATGAAAAAAATATTTATTTATTCATCTACATTAATGTTGTCGCCTTCAAAGTAGTCCCCTTCGGATACAATACACTTATGCCAACGCTTTTTCCAATCCTCGAAACACTTTTGAAACTCGATCTTTGTAATAGCTTTTAGCTCTTTCAGCGATTCGCTTTTAATGTCATCTATGCTTGTAAAACGACGGCCTTTTAATGTTCTCTTTATTTTTGGAAATAGAAAAAAGTCACATGGAGCCATATCTGGCGAATATGGAGGCTGAGGCATCGTTACAGTTTCGTTTTTGGCCAAAAATTCACGAACAAGCAATGAAGTGTGAGCAGGCGCATTATCGTGGTGCAAAAGCCATGAATTGTTTTGCCACAAATCCGGGCGTTTTTTTCGGATTGCTTCACGCAAACGACGTTGAACTTGTAGATAGTACTGCTTATTGATTGTTTGACCTTGTGGCAAGAATTCATAATGCACTATGCCATTAAAATCGAAGAACACAGTGAGCATAACCTTCACATTCGACCGCACTTGTCGAGCCTTTTTCGGTCTTGGCGATCCAGAATGCCTCCACTGGGACGATTGAGCCTTAGTTTCGACATCATATCCGTAAACCCATGTTTCGTCACCTGTTATAACACGTTTTAGTAGTTCTGCATCATTATTGACTTCATTTAGCGACTCCTGAGCAACTTCCATTCGCCGCTGTTTTTGTTCGAAATTCAACAATTTTGGAACGAATTTTGCTGCCACACGTTTCATACCCAAAACATTCGAAAAAATTTGATGGCATGAGCCAACTGATATGCCAACATCATCAGCGACTTCTCTGATTGTGATTCGGCGATCGTTCATAACCATTTCTTTCACTTTTTTCACGTTTTCATCGGTTGTTGATGTGCTTGGGCGTCCGGGTCGTTCGTCATCTTCAACGTTTTCGTGGCCATCTTGGAAACGCTTATACCACTCATAAATCCTTGCTTTACTCATAGCAGACTCACTATATGCCTTTGTTAACATTTGACAAACTTTACTACACTTTATTTCATTTTTTACGCAAAATTTAATACAAATTCTTTGATCCATTATTTTCACAAACGAAAATCGCCGAGCTCGAAAAACACGTCTAACGTTAGCGGCTGCCACTTAAAAAGTAAGCAATAAATATTGCTGAAAATTTTATCGTACTTCAGGGGCATGTGTACCAACATAATAAAAAAAAATTTTATACAAGCGGACTCTCCAAACCCGCGAAATTTAAAAATTCTCGTTACTTTTTGAACACACCTCGTAGAATACGTCTCTCGTCTTTCTTTGTCTTCCATCAAATCACTCTTTAATTTTTGGAATTGTTCTCTCTTTTTCACCTTCGCGAGAGCCATCGCATGAAAGAGAAAATCATATTTTTTTGCGTTTTATTTTACAGTGTGAAGACCGAAGTGATTAGTCGATTGGTCGGTTTATTGTTACGCCAATGAAAGATCTACTTTTTTCAGTATTTGAGCTGTTAGAGAATCTAGAAGTTTATTGGGAGAAGCTCCTTTTTGGGAACAAGAAGAAAAGGTAGTCAAAAAGAGCGTACACGTTACAAAGTCGCGAGCGAATACTCTTATCATCTGGCGTTTATAATAAAAAAGCGAAGTGAATAAACCTTTTTTATCCGAAAGAATTTCTAAAGAAATTAATTGAAAAACCTAAACTCTCTGCCAATCCTTCTTGACTTGTGGGATATGCGTGGCTGTGAGTGCTGCTTCAAGTAGTTGCATAATACAATTTTTAAAACGCTGCCAAATCGTCAAAAAAAATCGTAGTAGGACAATTTTTTTTTAAATTAAAGAAAAATAGCTGTTCTTCAAGATGCAATAATCAGAATTATCGAAAAAAATCATCCACATGCGGACACGCTACGAAAGTTTACGATTTTTGAGCTTTAAAAAATGACCTTGAATTTCAAGGTCTAGTAGTAAGTGGAGATTAGGTTAAATCGAAAATCGAGCTTCATCATGTGAAAATAGAGACTGTAACCTTTAAGTTAAAAAAATTGACCCCACTACAATATATTTTACCTGCGATATCGATCTTTGAAGTTGCTTTTTTAATCGAAATTAAGTGTTGCCTTAAGTGTAGTAGAAAATGAAATCGTTAATTTTTTTAGCAGCAGACATTATAGAACCCTGAGATAGTGATTACAACGCTCCTCTATTTGACGTTTCCAAATATGAAGACGATTGGAAAGTTGGGGTTGACTTCAGAGAAATGAACAAGAAAACGAAATCTGATTTCTATCCGATACCAAAATTAATTAATATTTTAAATTAGTTAAATGAGTCAAACATGTTCTTGATTCTAAACATGCAGAGCGGATTTCATCAAATCGAGATAGACCCTAGGGACTGTTATAAAACTGCATTTTCCACCCACTTTGGCTGTTTCTATATTGTCAGAATGCCTTTTAGTTTTAAAAATACACCTAAGACCTTTCAGCGCATGATAATATATTAAGAGATGTTCAAGAGAAAATTATATTTGTATACATCGATGATCTTAACGCTTTCGCTCGAAATCTCGTTGATCATGAAGAAATTCCTTTTAATTGACGAAATATTTACAAAGGTAAATTTAAAGTTCGATCCCACAAAGTGCACGCTTTATTGCAAGGAAGCCAACTATCTTGGACACGTGTGGACTCCCGACGGAATTAAACCAGATCTCAAAATAACCGAAGCAATAGAGAAATTCCTATTACCAGGAAACATAATGACTGTGAAATCGTTCTACGGTTTAGCCGGTTACTACCGCCAATTTATTCCAAATTTTCTAAAGGCTATAGCGGGATAAGGATGTTAAAATTGCCCCTGCCTGTATTTTTATTTGGAGGCGGTCGTTCGAAAGGACATACTTGCAAACTTCTTCAGCCAAATTTTTTGCGCCCTAGGTAGTAATAGGACCCTAAAATGATAAAAAAAACGTTTTTTCAAAAATTAGTTTTTTTGCTTCACTGTTTGATCCACAAAATTTAAAAAAATTCATAATAATATATACTATTGTACGAAAAGAGTCTGATTTTTTTCAGATTTTTTGGATTGAAAATGAAGTCAAAAAATTTTGGAATTTTTCGATGAATTTTTTAATTATGAACAATATACTTGGCTAACTTCTAAATATTACTTTTTTATTTATCTTTTCTCGTTCTCTTGAATGCCGGAATTAGAATCACCATTTTCTGACTGGAACTTGCTCAAAACTTGAAAAAACCGATTTTTTCGGCATTTTTACCGAGTTTTTGCCACATAACCTCAATTTTATATAGTTCAAAAAGTAATAGAATACTCAAGAATACTTCAAAATTTCCTTTACAAGCCCAAGAGATTTTTTAAACAATCAATTTTATCGCAAAAGCTCCAAAAGACCTGATTTCACAATTCACATTAATATTTTCAAATATTTTCATATTATAACATAATACGAACATATTACGTATGCTATACCAGCGCAAACGCGCTCAGATATATATACACACACACTACAGATTGAAAAATCAATATTATATTAATCAAAATTCTTAATTATTTCAACAACCAATTACAATACTTCCAATTAGTCTTCATCACTATTTTCATTGTAACGGGGTGGGTATTCCGTTTAATTAATTTATCCGCGTAATCGTATCGAAAACCGCAAGTAATTACCTATGTTAAATACGAAAATCGGAGAGCAGGAGGGAACGGGTATCAGTCAACCAACTATCTACAAATACGAAAAGAACACTTCGAATGTACTGCTAATATCACATGCGAGAACTTTTATTACCTCTTAACATTATATCGTATTCGGCCCGCGTGTTTATGTTTACATGCCGCGCTCGCCGCTCTTTGTTTGCCGAGATGTTACATGCACGCTTTTTGTCGAATCGAGGGATTAGTCGTGTAGCAATTATATCGCGACCGCGAAATTAAGCTGGCCAGTTTACCTTTTTTTGCAGTCGTACGAAGAACGAAAGAAACGGTTCGCACTCGCGTTGCGGGAAAGTCTGTCTTTATTACGAGGAAGCTCGCGTTTTCGGTTTCGCCCTCGCTGGCGAAACTCCTCACACGCGCACTCCCGCACACATGCTTTTCAGGCAGGCAGAGGCACCGCTGTCGCAGCTCCTACTCGGCTCGTATCGGCACTCCGGA